AGGAGTTCTAACAGCACAGACCACTAACATTACCTAACATACACCTGTTTACAGCTGCAGTTTCTTGGCATTGTGGAGGTTGTGTGACCACAGTTAGCCCACACTGAACGATGTATTTGTAGTTCGAGAAGGCATGTGTGAGGGCCTCAGTGTTTTGGAGCATGGAGTGGACTTTTAAAGGGCTTTCTCATCCCAGCCCATCTTTTCTAAATATCATAGCTCACAATTTTATCCTGTAATATGACTCATACAGAGAAGAGGAGGAAAAGAGGTTGTTGTTTTTTTTTAAGAAAAAACCAACAACGATTAAAACTAAGACACAGCAGAGTGAGAGGACAGGGTTATAAGGTTGTGTGAAGTAGAACTGTGGGACTATGGATTAGCCAATTTGCACAGTAGCATTAATGCAAAGATGTGTAATGGTGATGTAGCTGGTATGCTGCCACTATCTGAATTGCCAGGCTGCTATGTAATAGCAGCTTTGTGCAATCAAGTCCTAATAATCAGATTTCTGGTGAATGACAGTTAGACAGCACGATTGAACTCGAAATATGAATGAACTAAAACATTCAGAGGCATATCTTCTCTGCAAGCAGGGTGCATGTTTATGGGGGTAGGGGTGAGGAGTGGAGGTTAAGTCTCTTGAAAGCTTCTTTGTCTGAGATACAGTACACTGGGCATCCTACGCTGCAGTCTCTCTTATCTCCTTGGTAATCAGTCACACTTCCCTTTATCTCTCTGTCCCTTTTGTTATTGCCATCAATTCAGCTGTGACCTAAGACCACCCTATGAATAAGAGACTTCCAAAGACCTTGTTAACCAGCCTGCTAGGATCTTACAGACTCACAGCGGTATCTTTCTTGATTGAGTCTATGCACCTGTTATGTGGCCTTCCTCCTTTCTTAACTACCTTCTACTTTACTAGGCACTAATGAGTGGTATTATCTCCCAATATGTGCAAAATACAGTTGGCTTGGTTTAGTTATTTTAGCTTCTAAAGAGAGTTCAGACTAGAGTTGTCATTCGACACTTTCACTGGACTTTTTAGCTGTCCATGGTATCCATATAACAGGATTACTTTCCTCTGAATTCTCTGGTGTATTCCATTAGCAAACTTATCTCACAGTATGATCCTCAGTGCTTCATCCATTTGGAACTCTGCTTGGACATCTAGAATCTATACATATGTACTAAAAACATCCATCATCACTTTGCTTGTATGGAATAATGGCATAAACCTATGTTTACTACAATCAGTGGTGTCCCCTTGCTTGTGGATCGTGCTTTTTCAAGTTGTGGGATTTTTCTTTTTGTTATTTTGTTATGGGTTTTCTTAGATTTTTCTCATAGTCTGAACCTGGTCTTGTATTTGCAAAGAAAATTGATATTCTCCATCTTCTGTTTCCACGAATACAATCATTTTGATTTCTGTGTTGGCCATCTAGTAACATCTAAGAATACATTCAACTGTGTTAAAATTGTGTTGCCCGCTCATACGTAAGTTTTAGTACAAGTGTGAAAACTTTGATTGGCTCAGAGGCCATTAATAACAACAACAACAACAACAACAACAACAACAACAACAACAACTTTATTTCTAACCTGCCCTTTCTCCCCAGGGGGACTCAGGGCAGTTTCCAGATAGAAAGTGCCAAACATTCAATGCCATAATAAACAAACAAACCAAATCGAAACAATAAATAAAATATCATCAATATAAACTTATGATGACTAACCGAACAAATAAATAATTAAAAACTAATAACCTCATCATCAAATTTACATCTTAATAAGATCTAAATAACTAAAGTGCCTTAAAAGTATAAAATGATGATGAAGACGTTATATAGAATAATTATGTACAACAGCCAACAGCGCCAGGGTGGGTTTCCAGTATCCATACAAGGTTACATATCAAGATGTACTAGTCCTCCTCCTCTCCATAGGCTAGGGAGCAAGAAGAGAGAAGAGAGGAGGCCATTTTTACTTCTTTGAGGTGGGAGTTCCAGAGGCTGGGGAGGGGCAATCATGGAGAAGGCCCCTCTCTTGTCCCCGCCTACTGGACTTGAGACGGGGGTGGGACCGAGAGCAGGGCCTTCTCTGCTGACCGCAGTGCCTGTGTTGGTTTATATAAGAAGATGTGGTTAGTTACATAGCCTGGGCTTTTGGGCATGAATAGCAAATTGAGAAATTATTTTTATAACCTTGTTTAAGTCTTGTTTACCTTTTCATTCCCCGCCCCAACAAGATACGGTAGGACCTTAAATATGGAGCACACCCCTTCCTCCAATATTCCTGGAAGCACAATTCTGTTTTGTTTTTGTGTGAAAATGAGAGTGGTGGTGGTGGTGGGGGGGTCTATGTTTACAGAAATTAGTTCTGAAAGACCTTATTATGTCCATAGCTTAATATAGACAATAATACAACCTAAAAACCTATAACTGATTTTCTGCAGCCTATTGAAAACTACAAGCAACTCATAATATCACATAGGGACATTTCTCCCTAATCTGAATCAATAAACTGTTTCCTGAAAAATGGAGACATTAGCTTGATACATCTAATTCCAGTTGGCAGGAGGATCCCTGTCAAATTTCTTAAGATCACGTGCCAGTTCATATACATACAACATTTCTTAGTCTCAACACTGACCTCTCCTATTCTGTATAGTTTCAGATTATTCATTTAAATTATTTTCTGAGGAACTGTTATAAAAACTACTCCAGACACATTTCTAGTTTATTTATATGCCACCTTTCTACCAGAGTGGGGCTCAAGGCAGCTTCCAAAAACAATAAATAAATAGGGATGGCATCCATCCAGCCTCGGTGAAAGACCACAACTTTAGCCCAAAATGCATATCCAGATAGGTAGGATAAAAAGATTTATAAACAAAATAACTATGCAGCTGTATTGGATGATGCCACGAGACCTGCCTTCTTTATTAAGTATTGGAATTCCATTGTTTGCCTGACTCCCGCAGTTTATTAAAAACCTTGTCATTAAAATATGCAACACAGCACTTGAAGAAGTCTCAGTGCAAATGGGATCAAGGAAACAGGTAGGGAAGGCCATCCATTTATATGAGTGTTTGGTAGAATAAAACTGACAGCTTTAGAATGCTGTGATTGATTGCAAAACATGAAATCAATCTGCTTTCCTCTGTTTTCCAATAGAGGATCCCCTTGACACAATAGGAGACAAAAGCATTTGTGAGTATTATAATCTATATGTTTGTTGCATAAAAGAAATCATTAGAAACAAAACTACCTATAAAAAGTATGTAATTTAATTTTAAACATTTCTCATTCAGCAAATTCTAACAAATTATGACCCAACATTATTGCCAACATTTTGCTCTGATGTTTAATTTGTCAATACAGATTTCCTAGGCAGGCATTACATCGCTTTGGAATGTTTTATAAAATAACATTGGTTAGAAGTATTAAATATGCACTGTTTATTGGGGAAAATAAGACTGATGCTGCAGGACCAACAAGAATATGTTAGAATTTGGAGACTAATGGACTACATGAAAGTCAGAGAACTGGTACTGCTCAGCAAAATGTTGGATATTCTGATTATAGAAAGATATAGAGAATATACAGAATATTTCACTGATATCTGGGCATTCCAAACCCATCTTACAAGACTGATGTAATGATTAAAATACACTACTTTGATCTCCTAAGGTCATACTGTAAAACAATTCGGTTGTACAGTGAACTACACCCTCTAACTATTACAACTTATCCCAAAGAACACCATGAGTAATGCCCAAGTTGTTACTGTAGTGGTAATAGCCATAGCCCAATTACAGAAGCTTCATGAGGATACCAACGCACAGAGAAAAGACAAAATTGGGAAATGTCACAGCAGGTAAGAAAAACCTAAACCCAAACCCCATCTACTCCATGTTTTTTTATTGAAGCCATTTCCCCTTGTTCTATAAAAATCAATGAATTGGTGAAACTGATTAAACCTCATGCTGCTCTCAATTTGCTACTCTCACAAAGCAAACATTACTATTTTGTTTGGAAAGTGCTCGATCAGCACATAGGTGCCCAGAGACCGGAGGCAAATGATGAAGTTCTTTGGCTGAGGTCCTGTCTCTGGAAGCTAACTGTCTGGATAAAAGACCAAAACCATTATGTGCTCTTTGGAGGAAAACTGGTCTATGAGGTAAGTGCAATAAAAATAAAATAAAATAAGACCTTTACATGAATCTTTTTATGTGCTAGTATTTAACTGAAACAAAAGCTCTGAAGTCGATTACTGTGGAAAGATAGTGCAATCATTCTCTGGCATGGGAAGGATTCCCTTTGTATCTTCAATACCTACTCAATACATTAAACATGTGACTGTGTATCGCAGAGAGATAAATGATCCAAAATCTCTGATATGCACAAAAATGCAGGTTTTTAATAAGATATTTCATTCCTCAAAATGCCCATTTTGTGTTTGATATTTTGCAGGATTAGAATTATGTATCACCAAAGAACCTTTGTTGCTAAACTTTGCAAGCCCCAAAGTCATTTTGTGAATAGGTTTGAATTTAGAGACTCATTTTAGCAGTTCATTTTTCATTTCAGCACTTCCTTATGTTGGGGGTCAGAAGAGATTTCCACAATTGGATACATTAATTTCCACGGGAAGGGTTTAGTATGCTTGATGATAACTGTGAACTCAAGGATTTTGCAATATAGAAGCATATAACAAAATCTGAGATTAGATTTTTCTGAAGGATCTAAAGGCAATGTTGAAATGCAATTGCTTTCAAATTATTTCTTTACAAAGACCTAAGATCCTGCTCTTAACGTACATTTTTTGATAATCTGCTCAAAAGCAAGGCCCCACCTCAGTGTATGTTGATATATGATTGCAGCCTAAATTTTCTGTTCCTTCAGCACTATCTTTCATATTTTAGCGTATCTAAAAATACAGGAGCGCTGCCCAACTGCAGGTGAATCTTCAGAATTGTTCAAAAAGAAACATTTTACCTTTTATCACCAGGTTCCCAGTACTGCTGGCTACTCCAAAATGATTTGTCGCTATGCATGTGTAACTGCCAGCATCTGCTTTAGTGACATTGATAATCTTCAGAGTTCCATCCTCCATGATAGCATATCTGGAAAAACAATATAAAAGCACAGGTAGGAGTTTAAAGGAAATGATCTTAATACTGCATATTAATAATTATTTCAATTGCTGGGAAACCATTACCAGCTGTATCTAGTGTTGACTAGATACAGCTAGATCTCTAGTGCAGCATCTTTCCTAATGAAGTACAGTGTGGTTGAGGATTGGGACATCCATAGGGATACCAAGGTGCTTGTTTATAAAGCTATTGTACTCCTAACCCTGTTATATGCCTGTGAAATGTGGACTATCTACAGACGTCACATGCAACTCCTGGAACGATTCCATCAGCTCTGCCTCCAAAAAATCCTGCAAATCTCTTGTGAAGTTAAGTGGACAAATGTCAGCATGCTGGAAGAAGCAAAGACCACCAACATTGAAGTGATGGTCCTCTGTCATCAACTCCGCTGGACTGGCCACGTTGTCCGGATGCCCAACCACCGTCTCCCAAAGCAGTTGCTCTACTCCGAACTCAAGAATGGAAAACGGAATGTTGGTGGGCAGTAAAAGAGATTTAAAGATGGGCTCAAAGCCAACCTTAAAAACTCTGGCATAGACACTGAGAACTGGGAAGCCCTGGCCTTGAGCGCTCCAGCTGGAGGTCAGCTGTGACCAGCAGTGCTGCAGAATTTGAAGAGGCATGAATGGAGGGCGAAAGAGAGAAACGTGCCAAGAGGAAGGTGCCATCAAGCCAACCCCGACCGGGACTGCCTTCCACCTGGAAACCAATGCCCTCACTGCGGGAGAACATGCAGGTCAAGAATAGGGCTCCACAGTCACCTACGTACCCACTGCCAGTACACCAATCTTGGGGGACAATCTTACTCGGACAATGAGGGATCGCCTAAGTAAGTAAGTAAGATCCTCATGAGTTTGAAGACTCCTCCACCTTTTGCGACTGGAACAGAACAGACAACTCAGCATCTGTATGTTTGCCCACAGTGCCCTGCCTCATGCACAGAGGAAGAATTGTTGAAAGTCACATACAATGTGGTCGCTGTTGCCCATTTTTGGTCAAAAATTATTTAGCTACTTGTGCTTTCTCTATTTTATCAGTTATATACTTATTTATGCAATGCTTTTGACATGAAATAAATTACCTGATGAGCAATTAGGAGAACACTGATTCTTACTAGGTGGTTTGCATACATCTCTGAATTTTTTTCCCTTGCAAACAACTAAGCAATCAATCAGTTATTTAATTTTAGTTTCAGCTAATCAGGTTTTAAGTCTACCTTAGGCAATACATGATCGTTGACCATGAATCGCAGTCTAATCAATCCTCTTGCTCTTTTGCTATCATCTGATGATTAAGGGTTGGTGTCCATTTTCAATAATACCTGGTGATCCATGTTTGCGGTGAGAATTGAAAGTGAGCTACATCTACATTATTAATTTCCAGAAATGTCACATAACCAAGCTTTATGAGTCACTGTACATATCATGTAATTGTATTATCCTACAAAAGATTTCTGAAATGTCAACAACACCCAGCTTGATGTCTTTGTCAAGGTAAAGTTATTCACTTCATATTCCTGTATATGTAGTATCTTCAAAAGTTTTCTGAAGTATGATCTCTCTGGTACTAAGTGCCTCCACAAACAGAGAAAAGGTCCATGCCCCCCCCCCCCGCCCCAACACCTTTGTGTATTGTTAGAAGAAATATCCAGGATGCCTGGAGAGGACTTAAAACCTAAGTCTGTTGATTCTAACTCCCACTCTGTTCAACAAGGCTTATTTCTAGGGTGCAGAGTGGGAGAACTGAAATATTAAGAACTTCAAATACTTAAAGATGTATTTTATACATATACAGTAGAGTCTCACTTATCCAACCTTTGCTCATCCAATGTTCTATATTATCCAACGCAGTCTGCCTCCTTCCCCTATCCACAGCTGTTCCAATACATTGTGATGTTTTGGGTGCTACATTTGTAAACACAGTAATTGCTACATAACGGTACCATGTACTGAACTGCTTTTTCTGTTGATTTGTTGTAAAACATGAGGTTTTGGTGCTCAATTTGTAAAATCATAACATAATTTGACGTTTAATTGACTTTTCTTTAATCCCTCCTTATTATCCAACATTTTTGCTTATTTAATGTTCTGTCGGCCCGTTTGTGCTGGATAAGCAAGACTCTACTGTAGATATATAGATATGAAAAAAGTACTGTTTTTGTTATTGCTGTCATGTGCCTGCATTGATATCTCTCCCCTTTCCAAGATGTTGAATGCTGAAATTTGGGTGGTGGTATTTTAATTCTTCAGATGGTTCACTTATCGGATGAGGTAAAGAGCAGGATGAAGAGAGCAATTAGGAAGTACTGCTGCTGTGCAACTACCACTATTAAATTTTATTTTACAGAGGTTTGATCTGAAACGTTTCCTGGCATATCTTTTTTTCCCTGCAACATCTAAATACCGATGTATCTTAAAATAAATTTTAATTGTAAGCTGATTAGGTTGTTGATTAGTCAAAAGGACTTTAGGATTTCTAGTTCTAGGAAAATGATGGTGGTAATTCTTGCTTCAGCGCTCTGTGCCTTAAGGGGTTTGTGTTACTTTTTGAATTAAATCTGTGCTGCTTGTCTCTGTAAAAGGAATGTTTGAGACACATTCTCAATATCAAGGGGATGACAGGATGTATTGTTTATGGCAGATGTTAAAAATGTGAACAGGCAACCAAATCATATCATATCATGAATCTGTGTAACTATGTTCTAGAAGCATCACACTTGGGAGCCATAATCCCATTCATTTGATCCAAAGGATTTGCAATAAAATCAGCAAATACCTGCTTAAGTCAGACAGATATATATGTATGTCAGGGCCTCTTTGAACTGTGATTCACAGATGAAAGGGCTTCATGGCAAAAGGTATTCATTTTGTTGAAACTGCTTTATCCAACAGTATATACTTTTTGAAGGTGATGGAACAGATATTAATTTAAGTCATTATTTTTAATGCATTTGTTAAGGAGGTCAGGACATAGGACTGACTTGGTGCCAATTTTGGCTGTCTCAGGGTGTATACAGACAGCCCTTTTAAAGTGGGAGTTCCCGCATTTTGAAGTGCGACGTCCAGATGATGTCCCATAGAAAAATGAATTCATTCCCCACAAACCAGGAAAACCCTGGTTTATCATGAACTAATTTGTTAGTGGGTTTATTCTGTGTCTTCTTGGAAGGCGCAGGGCAAATCTACTATTTTTCCTGTCTGGATTGCTCCCTCAAAAGTTCTAGACTTTTATGGGGAAGTCCAGACAGTAATCCAGCGAGGACATCAACTTCCTCCCCAACCCCCCCCCCCACCCCGCCCCTCCACCAAACCCCTTTTAAAATTAAAATAACTTACCCGGTTTTTTTTGTGGTTGTTAATTGTGATGTGTTTTCTGTGTGTGTGCAAGAGAGAAAATAGGGGAGAAAGAGAAATAGAGGCACCCCTAACTTGGGCACCTCAGTGTTATTTCAGGGGAAAGCATTTATGATTTCCTAAAGTTATTACTTTGATCCTGGCATCATTTCTACAGGTTTCTGACTCTTCGTGACCTCATGGACCAGCCCACGCCAGAGCTCCCTGTCAGCTGTGGTCACCCCACCTCCTTCAGTGTCAAGTCAGTCACTTCAAGGATACCATCCATCCATCTTGCTCTTGGTCGGCCCCTCTTCCTTTTTCCTTCCATTTTCCCAAGCATCATTGTTTTCTCTAAGCTTTCCTGTCTTCTCATGATGTGGCCAAAGTACTTCATCTTTGCCTCTAAATCCTTCCTTCCAATGAGCAATCAGGCTTTATTTCCTGAAGTACGGAGACTGGGTAACTTCTCTTATTTTTAAAAGGGGTTTTGGGGAAGGGTTAGGGTTTCTTTGTGTTCTCCCAAAAAGTTCCAGGAGCACATCTGGACACCCAGCCGCAACAGTGCAGGCTTTTGCAGCTGGTGTGCCGACTACAGTCCACCCCAGCCAGGGTTTTTAAAACCCGGGTTGAAGCAGATTTTACCACTGTGTGGAATTGCTCTCAGGTTTCAAGGCTATTGAATGGCTTAAGTGGGTTGAAGACACTGTCTATTGATCAATAACATCAGTTGACTCTATGAATAATGGTTTTTAAAGATGTAAAGTTCAAGTCAAATTAAGCAGCGGTTAGCTTAAACTGACAATTTTAAAAAACAGTTTCATTCCAAGAAAGAATCCAAAATCAATAAGGATTATAGAACTGATCTTATTGAAGCATTATAAAATCAACGAAGCACTGAGTTGGGAGGGATGCCAAGGGCCATCTAGTGCAGCGATTCTCAACCTGTGGGTTCACAAGTGTTCTGGCCTACAACTCCCAGAAATCCCAGCCAGTTTATCAGCTGTTAGGATTTCTTGAAGTTGAAGGTCAAAACATCTGGAGTCCCACATGTTGACAACCACTGATCTAGTGTATGTCTTGCCTGACCATTAAATATCTGTTGAAAAACCTACAATAAAGACAAGTCTATCACATTTAGAGGCAGACTATTTTTAACACCAAGATGGTCTCCTTTCCTATAATTTTAATCCATTGCCTCAGGTTCTGTACTCTGGAGTATTAGAAAACAAGCTTACTTTATCTTCTGCCTGAAAGCCTGTCAGGTATTTAAAGGTAATTAGCACTTCTCAATCTCTTGCAGGCTAAATGCAGTACTTAATAGTTTCTTAAACAGCTTGATTTCTTGACCCTTAACCCTATACTATCTTTCTACTGACCTCTTCTGGACATGTTGCAAATTATTGAAAGAAATCCACGGTTAAGACATTTTTCTTAACTGTGATACTCACAATTGGGACACAATATGGATATATGCCTCAAAGAACTACAATTGCTTGACTTTCCACCCACTCTTGTTGTATCATTCTGATTCATGTCTAGAGTGTGGCCTAAAACTTTTAGATTTGTTTAAAGCAAACAAACTAATGCAAAGCTAAGTGCCACTCATTTTATCTTTCTGCATCTTATTTTTCTTGT